CTCCAACTCTTAGGACTCAGAAGTAACAGAACAGTCTCCTAATCTTGACTGATCTGTACTGTAACACAAATATTAAATAACATTTTTTATTTTAGTTCCAGAGGCAAGTCTCCTGTTGAACAATGATACTGATAATGTCTTGATGAACAGACTACGAGCACAACGCTTGTGTGCTTTTTCTGTATCAAGCTTTTTTCTGTACTAAGTAATATAATAAAAGTTATTGCCTCTTGTTACAAATTTTTCTTGTTTCATAGCTTTGGACCGTATTGGCTACAATGCTGTTAACGCATTCTCTGATGACAGCAGCATAGAAAACCAACAAAGAGAAGCAGGAGAAAATCTTTTGTTCAGCGGTCTGAATATCTCAATCCAAGATGTCAAATGAGATAAGTTTGATTATATGCTGCTCACAGAACAGGCTGATTATCGGTGCTTAGAGTGGCTGGCGGCAAAGCCTGACAGACTGCCCAGTTTGAGGGCCAAAACCAACCGTGATCTTCTGGAGGAGCAGGTCTGAAAGGCAAAAGGACCAGGTGATTTATCTGCCCGCTCTGGCATTGCAGTACCGCAAAATGTACTTCAGACCGACCATCAGTGGGGATGCTCCCAATGCCTGTGAAGATGACAGGATGACATACCACGGTCCTTGTGAAGATGACACTGAATTATGTCACATTCAGCTGAACTTGGAAGTCACTTTTCCTGTGACTTTAGTGGATCCCTTGAAGGCTAATGTTTTATCTCATTTTCTGTTACATCCTTCCAATTTATCGTTGCAAATTCACTACCATTGAGATCTCTGCCTCTCAAATGCGGTGGAAATCACTCAATAAGGCATAAATGTCATGAGGGGACTGACAGAGCACAATCTTACAGAGGCTGGGTTTTGTGCAATTCAGCTTAAAATGACATGAAGCAAACCGGTGAATTGCTGTTACCCTGCATTTTGCTTGTTTTTCACGTGCTTAGCAGCAGTAGCAGTATGTGCTCTCTGCTCTCCTCAATTGCAGTATAGCCTTGTCTTCAAAACACGAAGAATTGGACAGCAATATTTTCTGGTTCATTGAACACATTTGAAGGGTCATACCACATCATTTTTTTTTTATTGTTTTTCCTTTTTGATGCCTGTAATGGAAGAGAGCAAATTTAAATGTTATCAAATCAAGAAGAATGTTTATTATTTGGAAATCAAACCAATATTCCTTTCACGATAATGAGTGTTTTAGCAGAACAGGTTGTTAACAGGTCGACATTATTTATCTTTGCTAAAGTGGGCCCTGTAAAAGCTTTGTCCTGACCTTCAGCCAGATACCTGATTGAGTCCTTTGAGCCTGTTCGTGGAGCATCAGCCCAGCAGTGCTCTGGAGCCAGCTTCTCTGGCAATCGAGGAGTGTCATCGACCAAGCCAAACACCGGGTCAGGAGCGTGGTTGAGCACTGCCCGTGCAAATGAAGACATCCAAGCAGTAGCTCTTTGCTACTCGGCATGCCTCATTGCTGTAGCTCTGCCGTTTTCTTCCGGAGCACTGTTTTCTGGTGTTGCCTCTTTCAGCCCATGGTTTTGACCGCGCGGTGTCTGTCTATTCCATCCTGGTCCCTGCCACTCCACCTGCGTTTGGTCATTCTGTTGAAGGTCTCCTGTAGCGCCGCTGCCGTTGTTCTTGGCTTTGGCTTTGCTGTTTAGCGAGATAGGCTGGAGAAGAGTGGGGAAAGAGCATGCTAAGCCTGACCTTTACCACTCCCACCCGTGCCCCGGCTGCCGTGAGCATTATTGTGATTGCAGAGACCGTCACGTGGCCGGCTTCACCCCTGGGCGCAGCCAGCGCAGCACGGGGGCTGCGAGCGGGCGGCTAACGGGAGGGAACCGCTGCGTGAAAGCGTCGGTCGGGAAGAGCCGGTGGCTTTGTTTTATGTTGTTTGTAATGTTTTAGAAAGCTGGAGTAGTAAAGAGTCTCTTTATGTACTCTTGTGTGTTAACTCAGGCTTTAACAGCTTTTGCCGCAATTAAAAATCTAAAGTATACTTAAAACACTAAAAAAAGCAGAGATGCCAGTTCTACTCCTCCGAGGGCACCAGAAGTGGCCTTGAAAGATGGGAGAAGAACAAATTACTGACGTAAAGTAACTCCAACTCTTAGGACTCAGAAGTAACAGAACAGTCTCCTAATCTTGACTGATCTGTACTGTAACACAAATATTAAATAACATTTTTTATTTTAGTTCCAGAGGCAAGTCTCCTGTTGAACAATGATACTGATAATGTCTTGATGAACAGACTACGAGCACAACGCTTGTGTGCTTTTTCTGTATCAAGCTTTTTTCTGTACTAAGTAATATAATAAAAGTTATTGCCTCTTGTTACAAATTTTTCTTGTTTCATAGCTTTGGACCGTATTGGCTACAATGCTGTTAACGCATTCTCTGATGACAGCAGCATAGAAAACCAACAAAGAGAAGCAGGAGAAAATCTTTTGTTCAGCGGTCTGAATATCTCAATCCAAGATGTCAAATGAGATAAGTTTGATTATATGCTGCTCACAGAACAGGCTGATTATCGGTGCTTAGAGTGGCTGGCGGCAAAGCCTGACAGACTGCCCAGTTTGAGGGCCAAAACCAACCGTGATCTTCTGGAGGAGCAGGTCTGAAAGGCGAAAGGACCAGGTGATTTATCTGCCCGCTCTGGCATTACAGTACCACAAAATGTGCCTCAGACCGACCATCAGTGGGGATGCACCCGATGCCTGTGAAGAAGACAGGATGACATACCACGGTCCCTGTGAAGATGGCACTGAATTATGCCACATTCAGCTGAACTTGGAAGTCACTTTTCCTGTGACTTTAGTGGATCCCTTGAAGGCTAATGTTTTATCTCATTTTCTGTTACATCCTTCCAATTTATCGTTGCAAATTCACTACCATTGAGATCTCTGCCTCTCAAATGCGGTGGAAATCACTCAATAAGGCATAAATGTCATGAGGGGACTGACAGAGCACAATCTTACAGAGGCTGGGTTTTGTGCAATTCAGCTTAAAATGACATGAAGCAAACCGGTGAATTGCTGTTACCCTGCATTTTGCTTGTTTTTCACGTGCTTAGCAGCAGTAGCAGTATGTGCTCTCTGCTCTCCTCAATTGCAGTATAGCCTTGTCTTCAAAACACGAAGAATTGGACAGCAATATTTTCTGGTTCATTGAACACATTTGAAGGGTCATACCACATCATTTTTTTTTTATTGTTTTTCCTTTTTGATGCCTGTAATGGAAGAGAGCAAATTTAAATGTTATCAAATCAAGAAGAATGTTTATTATTTGGAAATCAAACCAATATTCCTTTCACGATAATGAGTGTTTTAGCAGAACAGGTTGTTAACAGGTCGACATTATTTATCTTTGCTAAAGTGGGCCCTGTAAAAGCTTTGTCCTGACCTTCAGCCAGATACCTGATTGAGTCCTTTGAGCCTGTTCGTGGAGCATCAGCCCAGCAGTGCTCTGGAGCCAGCTTCTCTGGCAATCGAGGAGTGTCATCGACCAAGCCAAACACCGGGTCAGGAGCGTGGTTGAGCACTGCCCGTGCAAATGAAGACATCCAAGCAGTAGCTCTTTGCTACTCGGCATGCCTCATTGCTGTAGCTCTGCCGTTTTCTTCCGGAGCACTGTTTTCTGGTGTTGCCTCTTTCAGCCCATGGTTTTGACCGCGCGGTGTCTGTCTATTCCATCCTGGTCCCTGCCACTCCACCTGCGTTTGGTCATTCTGTTGAAGGTCTCCTGTAGCGCCGCTGCCGTTGTTCTTGGCTTTGGCTTTGCTGTTTAGCGAGATCTCCTCTTCCCTTGGGGATGTTGCACGCTTTTCTGATAAGGCTTCTTGATCATCTCTGCTGATTGCTGTCATTATAGCAGGCCCTTAAGGATTTACAAGATATACTTTTTAACATGATACAGAAGGATTTAATTAATTCTAATAAATAACAGAAACACTTGCTGCAGATGAGTGCTTTTCGTAAATTAGGGTATAAGCTGCTTTCAGAGATATCAATGAGAACTTTGTTATTGATTTAAATTATATGTTGCTGTGCAAGTGCTTATGATAATGTGCTGTAGGAAAGCAGTAAATACCGCATAACATATTCTGTATCCTTAATAAAGCCTTGTTAATATGTAGGTACTCTTTGCAGCTTTGCTATCAAGTCTTTCAGAGGAGGAGGATTTTCCCTGTGTGATTTATGCAGAATTTGGATTTGTAATATCAATGGTATTATAAAGTTCTTTCTTCTCTCTTCCATTTTTCTTTCCACATTTTGGCAGCAATAGTTTGCAATAGCAAGGGGAATTTAAGGATGCCACTTCTTTTTTTCCCCAAAAAATGTTGTTGAAATAGAGGGTTTCAGATTAAATTTACTTCATAATGAGGCAAATGAAGCCTACGAACTATGAATGTGAAATATATCACATTTTAAAAAGCAAAATTATAGTTTATTATTGTCAGATGAGAACCAGCAGATGCTGTCAAGCACAGTTCCTCTTTCCATCCTATTTTCCAGCACAACGTCTTTTGATGCCAAATCCCTCCAGCACTCATATGTCTGTCCACCAGGACGTGGAAATGCACCTTTGCAGCTGAAAGCGGAGGGGCCGTTCCTAACCTTGAATTACATTTGTCCTGAAGGCTTTGCTCATTTTCCCTTTTAACATAAAAAAGATGTATGCTGGTAACATATTGCTATGTGTGTGCCTGGTACAATGCCCAGTTGCTCCCCTGCACTTTAGACCAGGAGCTGTCATCTGTCTGAACTCTTTGTTTTTCTTAATGAGACCAAATGAGGGTTGTGTGGAGCCAACACATCTCGGAAGACAGATGGCCTCCAGAAGTAAACATCTTTCTGTTTCACCTACCCAGATAGCTTAGTTTATTCCCTGCGACTGGATTACCCTGCTGAGCCACCTCTGGTTTCCCGTGGCCTGAGGCTGATGGCCTCAGCTGTGGGACTTCAGGGCCACCAACATGTCCAAGAGAAGGAGAAGCCCAGGCTGTCCCCTGGGCCTGTGGCTCACCATCCCCGATGCCGTGGTGCCACCTTTCCCAAGGGGCGGCCAGCCTGCCACAGCAGGTATTGCAAGTAGGAGGGTTGGGTGATAGCTAGATTTTGGCCCGTGTTAAATCCTCACTGAAGAGCTCTTCTGTGATAAAAGTAGGACAGGGGATGGGGGTCTTCTTGTGTGTAAAAAAAGCTGAACCAGAAACCTGTATCCATAAACTCACTGGACCTGACTGCAGGGGCAGGCAGTGCCAAGCTCTGGTAGATCCTGGAGGTAAGAACATCACCATGATTTATGGAGCTCTATTACTAAAAATGACACTTTAATAGTCTCTGCAGGATTTTTTTTTGGATTGTTTTTTATACTCCTATGAATATTAAAGCTTGGTCCCTGGCCAACAGGCAGCAAACATGTGGAAAAAAACCCTTTCATTTGAAGACTCTCTTAGCTTCTCTGTTGGCCTACTGACAGCAACATTTAACCTTGGTTGTACTGTGACTGTATTACTATTTATTGAGCAAATTGTGAAACCAAAACAGAGAATTTCCATCATATAAGAGAGACTGTAGCAGTACAGATGAGTTAAACATATTATGTTTTAATTTCCACTTAAGGTTTTGTTGGCTGGTAAAATATTATTAGTTTTGCATTACTGCTCTTAGCAGTACTGACAGCCAGTGATAGATTGATTTAGAACAAAGAGTTTCAAGTCAGCAAATAAAAAGAAAAATCTAGTTTTAACTCACTGGTTTCCCAGTACTGAATAAAAATATAATGGGTTTTGAGCTGAAATTGTGCGTGTGTAAGCAATATACCTGCTTGGTTTTGAGAGTCTTCATTTTCACATTTATGTGAAAGTGAAGTAAAAGTCTGTAAGACACTTGGATGCTTTTTTTTTTCCTAGTTGTGGATTTTTATCAAAATTAATTTTAAAATTGCAATGAAATTATTTTACATACTCAATAACCTAAAAAATAATAATAAAACCATAATATTTTAAAATTCTAATCAGATGTAATAAAAGAAGGCAGTGAGGCCTAATAGTGACTTGAGAGTGGTTTCAGATTAGTATCATCCCACAAGATTCAAATCAAGAAAATACTCTCTTTTGGCATGGAGTCTTCAGTGGTCAGAAGCTGTTTTATCATTTCAGCAGGCTCTGGGTGCAGTGCAGTGACTTTGCTCAGTTCACTAGTGGCGATAACTGTTAACTGCTCCAGTATTATTTCTACCATGGCTTACAGCGAGTTCGGGACTTAATACTGTTTGTCACAAATTGACGAGAAGTTGAAGTAAGTTTTATTTTTTAAAGTAGAAACAGTAAATTAAATACACAGATTCAGTACTTCATTGATTGTTCTGTATTCTACCCATCCCAAATCAGTAGCAGGAGTAATTTGAAGGATTTTTGTTAGTGATACCAGTATCCTTTTTTAGATAGGGATACAGAAGATTAATTTATGCACCACTGAAGTCCAAACAGTACATCTGGAAAGTCCTGGCACTTTCTCCGTGTGGAGTAGCAGGCATTAGGTTCCCATTAGTACTGCAATTAACAGACCTGCGGAGCAAACCGAGAGCTGCTGGCATTTTGCTGAGTCTGGTGAGCACGTTTCTTTCTGCGATGGGTGGTGGGAAGAGGAGAAGGTGGTGAGGAGAGGGGTTGGGAGGTTGCTGTCAGAACCCCGTGACCCCAGGTGATCTCCAGGAAAGGACAGCGGGGTGGGCTGGCTTGGTATGAGGCGCAGGCTGAATGTCCTGAACTTGCATAATTAAAAAAAAAAAGGACAGCTCAAAGCAAATTTTTCTTGTATATATATTACCATGTTTATCACTACCATTTGCTTAATAAAACCATTCTCTATCTCATTATCTGTAGCATAGCTGTGTGAGGACATTATCCACAGAACTGTCAGCCAGGCATCAGATCTGTTTGTTTACTCTTTGTTTGAATGATGACACAAAAAGCAAACTAATAGCTATATGTATCTTTTGCAAGTACTTTTTTTTTCCTGAGCTGTTTAGTGTTATTTAAACACCATGACATCTTAAAAAGACAGATGATAGGAGGCCTAAATGGAATTTTATTCTAATTTATTATTGTGTTTTTAATGTAATGGGATATCTTCATCTGTTTTCTATTCTCTTTCTGTTGTTTAGAAAAAGCAAGACCAGCATTCTCATTAGTATAATATTCAAGCGTACTGTGGACTTTACGCTTTCCAGAGCTGGAACAGCAGGAGGAGGAAGGAGTAGAGATAATTCACAGGGAAGAGAATAAAGGCTATTTTGAACTTGGATTTGAAATGAGATGAAGAGTCAGCTAGACAGTATTAGTACAGTTTGTTCCAGATGACAGGAACTACAGACAAGAAGTTTGGGTAGGGGCCAAAATGTCTGATGGGGCGGCAAAAAAAGCTAGGGCTGTAGCAGCATGGGGAATGGAGAAACATCAGGCTGTTTGTCAGAGAGTGCTTTTGCTTTATAAACTGATGAAAAATATGCTCTGGAAAGTCTCTTGGAACAAGCTGGGAACTATGTGAAAATATTAGTGATGTGGTTGTATTTTTCTTTGAGTGAGAAGGCTGAAATACTTTCATGGCCTGGAATCTGAATTTCTGGATTATTGGGGAGGTCAAGTGGAGCATATGGGAGGGATGTTGAGCAACGCAAGAGAAATGTGTGCAATCTGATGGAAAATAAACAAGGTAAAGCATTTACGGATAGTGGTAAATAGCGGTGGTGATGGATTTACGGGCAGCCGACAAGGGATCAAGTGGAAGGCAAACCTTTTAGTCACCCAGCAGTCAGCAGGCTTTTGCAGTTGATGAAAAGGAGCCTTGATTTAACCGGTAGAGTTTGAGAAGGAGTTATACGGGTTCTTCAAATTACCTAACCCCAGATCAGAAGATGGTTCCAACTGTAGAAGGGGTTACTGCAGAGACGAGCAGACCTGCTGCGTCAGCAGAGCGCGGCTAGGCAGTTGTTTTGGGAATTCATGGCTTCAGTTTTCTTTACAACTTTTGGCAGCAGGCATGAAACTTTTAGGGTGGGCATTGCTACTCTGATGCATGATAGAATGAGAAGTCTCTTTAGGATTAATTTTCTGTATTCTAAGATATTCCAACCTCCTCTTTAGAATGTGATTGATGTGGCTATATTTTATATTTGCCCAATGAAATATATTACACGCACAGCCCCCAAGGGTTTTTTTATCACAGGCTCTCTTCCTTTCTCTACACAGAGGTCTATTCCTTTCTCTATGGGTATGGATTTCTAATGCTTTAGATCATGCAGAATGGAAAAAGCATATGCAAAGGTAATCTAGTTTATTTCTTAATATAAAATTAGTAGTATTTTGTGGCTACTTTTTTGTAAGCACAAATTCTATTGATTCATTTCACGTTCCAAAAATTTTCATTTATTAGTACTTATTTGTCCTTACTAACTCTTAAGGAACTTGTAACGTAATAACATTTAATGAAGCATGAGATGTGAAGATGTTGCACGTTATGGATGTTTTCTGATAAATGAATACTGCACTCCTGCAAAACACAACGCTGCAGTACTGCAAATGAAAACCGAGGCAGAAGGATGAGACCTTGGCCTTTATGACAGACCGACTTTGCATGGAGCTGAACTTTTTTTCCCTGGTACTGTTTGAACTGAGCCGGAGTTGACGTCGCTGTTTTCCTCCGGTTGCACACTGTTACTGGGAACTGGCAAGGATCAGTGTGCACCAAAATAAAAGATTGTTTTGACATCAGAGATCGTTTTCATGTGACACTGCTCTGGCTCAGTGCCTCTCAGCTGCCGTTGGTCACCGTCACTGTTGGGTTTCATTACAGAGCTGTTGTAACGCTGTGATCGTCGACTTGAGACCCAGAAAATCCCGTGTCATTGCTTTGGCCACCATTTTGCATTGATTTTGTCCAAAGTGTGACAATATTCCAACCCTAATCAGGTCAGTAGGAGTTTTGCTGCACGTATAAATGAGTCAGTCTTTGTTCTTTGGCGTTTACCCTGCAGGCATTATTCCAGCCAAAATATTAGGGAAGTCAATGTGAATTACATGGCTATACTCTGCCAAATCAAGTCCTCCTTGTTGTTGCATGTGCAGATAACATTTAGTATGAATGTCTGCTTCATTACGGATGCAGAACTAAATGTTTGGCCTTTGAATTTATAAGGAATTTTCCCAGTGATATAAATCAAGCCAAATTTTCTTCCAGAAAATGTTGTCAATATATCTGTGAGAGGTGTGTGGTTAAAAGAATTATGGAAATGCATCTAATTTTCTTGAGGTGGAGTAACCCTTTATGTGAAGTCGAACTTTGCTATAGTTTTCAGATGCAAGCAAAAAAGTAACTGTTAGATAATGAGTGATCTCTTGATCTTGAATTTGTTTACCTCCGTAGAAGAAAGCAAATATAATTTTACATGTTGATTAAGAAAAATACCTGCTTTATTATTTTCTCCATCCTCAGTAACTATGTTGCTTTTTCTGAGAAAATTTCACCTTTCCTGTCACCTTAACTTTGAAAGTTTCAAGAGAGATAGCTTTGACTTTTTCCTTTGATAGCGCTAAAACAAGCTGCAGCACTAGAACCTTTGTGCAATATATTAGGAAGGGCTGTATGGTCGTGGTAATGAAATCTGATATCTCCTATAATAATAAGTGTTTCAATTAAAAAATCTTTAGAGCCTCTGGAATGAGAGGCAAATATAGCGGTTTTGCCTTTTGTAGGTACATAAAGGTAGTATTTTTTTTTAAACATCAGAATAGAATTGGATTGACTAAATGGTACTGTTTATTTCTAAGGACTACACATGTTTTCATGAGCTTTGAATGGACTGTTGAATATTCAAATTCACCTACTCATTATTTCTATGCTTTTTCTTTTCAGTTGCTTTCAGCCGTGGCCTTTATGGGATAAATCATGAAGAACGATCTCATACAAGTGGGGCAATACATCACAGTCCTGGATCTAGCAAGGTATAAAGCAGGGCGGTTGGTTTGTTTTGTTTCTTTCTCCTGTAGGTAAAATAAATCTAATACTAAGCACTGTGTTGTGTATGCTTTCCTGCCTAATGAAGAGCAATGTTTGATGAAATGAGAGTGAAGTGAAACGAATGTCATTCAAGTTAAGTGGTGGTGAGCAAAAGCTTTGCAAAAATAATAGTTAAAGCAGTAAAATCATACTCATTGCAATCTGCATGCAGGTAAACTTTGATTTCTTAGGTGGGGAATCCAGTCATCGGATTAGGTAATAATTTGAGGTAAAACAATCCAAATCACACACTCATCCTTCAACTCCCCTCCTTGCCTTAATGGATGATTTCTGATCTCCGGAGCAGGAGCAAGGACGTTGCATCCAGCTTGCTTTGCTCTGTCCCTAGGGCTGAAAGCCAAATTGTGCTCACAGAGGCTGCTGAAGAGAGAGTGTCCAGAATGGACTAAAAATGACTTCTTTCTCCTGTGCTTTTTATTATTCAGTAGGATTAAAGTATAGAAAATTCTGAGATTTTCATTGTCCATGGAAAATGTGATTTCCTAAATTAAAATGGCAAGATTTTTTCTATTTCTTTACAGATACAGCATTTTTAATAACATGCAAATTCTTGATTAACGATTAAAATTCTTATGCATAGCAGTAGTTACAGAACAGTATTTGTTATTGTTAAAATATATCCAGTGGACAAAGATTTAGCTAATTGAGCCGTTACATATTGTCAACAAAGGTAGTATTTTCTCTTCATTTAGAGAAAATGAGATTTAAGTGAGAGCAAATAATGAAATGGAAATGTTTTAGGTATGCATATGGTAATAGAAATGCAGTACTTGTGTGTATAATATATTTCTTTATACACAAACAGCTGTAAATATTTTAGGTTAACATTGAAGAAAAACAGTCTCACTGTTCTACTAAAACTTTGCTATTCCAGACTGGAGAAAAAACATGGGTGGGAGTGAGCAAGGGAATACAGACTCATTTGTTTATACCGTTTCTCTGTGCTCCAGAAATAAACTGAGGTAAGGTGGGATTTAAAAATCATGCAGGAAATATTTGCATTTTGAAGTTCCTTGGAGTAGGACGTAGTTACCTAGGCTGGTTGGCAGCAGAAACGTAACCACAAAACAGGGGTTGGATTATGTGATCCTGAGCTCTTGCTGAAGGCTTCTTTGGCCAAAGAAATTAGCTGGATGGAGAGCTGGGGTTCTCTAAGACAAGGTTTCTCCTTCGCTGGTATTTAGGAATGCTGAAGGTGGTAGTAAGTCTTGAAGGCTTGGGTTTGCTAATACACGGTTCTCCTTTGCATGCATCTGGAAACTATGCAAATTGAAGTCGCCAATGTGTAAAAGTAGAATGGACCCGGAAGCTGAGGGGACTTTCCTTCAGATCAGATGTTGCTGCACAGCTTTGCAGTGAGAGACATCTTTTCTTTAGGGAAATGAAACCATTTCATCAAAAGAGCGGGCACCTACCGAGATAGCTCAGGTCCTTCTCGCAAGAGCAAATTTAGACACTGTAATAAATCAGACTGTACGTTAAAAGGGAATCTGCCCTGATAAAGGGATGTCTTGCACAGAGAGGATGTAAAAACTTGCTGGAAGCATTCGTACGACCTGAGTGGGGAGCATGAAGGCCGTTAGTTCTGCT